ACTAATACAGCTTGTCTCCCAGGGCTGAGCTATTCTTGAAGACCGCAGAAAGCGCCTGCGCTCGTTTTCAGCCCTGTCGGAGGGTTTGCCGGCTGGCCGGGGTGGGAAGTGCCGCGGTGGGTCTGGTGCACGGTGTGAAGCCCTGGAGGTCTCCAGTGTTACCTCTTCTCTTATTCCAGCCGTGGCATTGGAGCTCGAATACATCCTAAGCCAGCAGCAACCAATTTTATTGTTGCATAGGATGCTGCTTTGTAACATGAAGTGCGAATGTTTTGCTTGTTTCTTGTGCAAGGATGTATATTGTCCTTCAAAGCAGAGCTTTGACAGATGGGTGCTTTCCAGTACTTTTTCCAGACCTTTTAGGAACGCGTCCAGCCTTTGGCAACACCTGTATGGTATGAAAGTAAAGCATACTGGAAAACTGCCTCAAAAAATTGCATCCTGCAACTGTTGCTAGATTTTTATATATTTTTATACATTTATATGTATAGATGAACATACACACATATATGAAGCTTCTATTCCTTATGTATTTTTGTGACACTTGACATGGCTACGCTTGCTTTTGTGCTCTGAGGATTCACGTACTTAGAACAGAGACATTACATTTCATGTCTCCTGAGCACAAACTGTGTTGGAAACTTGATGTCTGCATTACAGATAGGAAAGAATTTTGTAACTTGTTTAAGGACAATGTATGTTGTTTCCATAGAAAATGTCATATAATACACATTAAACTTCATTGTTTTACTGGGTGAGATGGTTTGCCTGGAAGGACCTTAGGAATTTTTTGCTCTCTGCATCAGAAAGTTCCATAGAGACCTTGTCTCCCCTTCTGCCCCCTTCCTGTCCCGTGAAAAAAAGCATGACGTGTATGTGGTTTACAGACTACCAAAGTGCACTCTGTGGAACAGCTTCTAATGATGAACATGTCCTTCCTTTCTCCACCTGACTTGTTCTCTTTAAAATAACGCTCTAGATACAGAAACTAAAAAAGCAAGAAGTGAAGAAAATGGGTCTGTGGAGGTAGAAGATGAAGATAAGCAGGATTCTGGAGAGAAAGAAGTGGAGGAAGAGGAGGGGGAGGAGGATGAAGTGCCCAGTTTACCACTAGGTGTAACAGGTATCTTGCATTCTCTTTTTCATAGGTGTGCAAAAAGCCAAGGTCCAACGCTTTCTTCCAGAGCAAGTTGCAAGTTTTCAAGTTATCTTTTTAAGTCAGGTGTTTGAATGTAGGTGACATAATCCTGGCAACCGTACAGCTGTTAGTCAGTTACTGTTCTTTGAAATTTGCATTATACACACACTATTAGTCTTAGAATTACTAGTGGAAATCTATTTTGAAACATACATAGGTTAAACTGTAGAGGAAATAGTCAATGAAGAGCAAGGTGGAGGTGTATGGTAAATTTCACAGAAGTACATT